AATTTTTATTGAAAAGTTATTTTCTTGATAATTATCTAAAGATTAAAAAAAAAAAAAAAACTGCTCTAACTATCCTCCGATTAAGAATATTTTTTAAGGTGGAACTTAATATCAAACACATTTCGCAAGGATTCATCAATATATTTAATATTTTAAGTTATTACTTATTAATTTTCAAAATTTATTTTTCTTGTGTGTATCTACATAATTGTGTATTCGTGGGTTTTGAATGACTTAAACAAATACTAAGTGAATCGGCCTCTTGATGTTTTATTCTGAGATACGAATTATAGCCATATACTACTTCCAGGTCTCTTTTTTTGTTGTTTTTTCAAAATAATTCTAGTTTATAAATTTCCATAAATATGTGTAATTTTAGGAGCTGCTGATGAACATGACAAGTTCATTAACTGGTGCTTATTAGCAACCATATCCATGGTGGTGGGAGGAAGTGGGCTGTTGACAGTTTCATTGCTGTATTCTTTGACAGGTGGAGAAATTCCTTTTGATGTAAGTTTAAACTGTAAATCTAAATAACTTTTCTTTAGGTACACAATATAAAACATTTAAGTGTCTTAAATTGCTCATGGATAATTCAAAAATGCACATAAAATAAGTAGAACTCACTAAAGAGAAACCATTAAACCTTTACTTAGTCTTACAGAATATTGTTCTCATTTTGTAGTTTATTTTACTGCACTTAAAATTAATATTTTAAAGGGTGTAGGTTAACCCTCTAATAAAGTTTTAGATCTTGGAGATGGGTTTGAATCTTAAAACATTCCCTACATTTTAAGTTGTGGATATGTTAATAAGATTGACAGCAAGTCTCTTACCATGGGTGGTAGGATGCTGTTGACTGGTCAATAGTTCAAGATTAGGGTTGATAGCAGATAGCCTTAATAGCTTTTACTATAAATAGCAATTGCAAATATAAGAAGACTGATAGAACTGATAAGAGTATAATAGCACATCCAGGTGGTGCAAATCTGATGGTTATGACCAAGTAGAAATTTTGGAAGGTGGGGGGTGGTGCAAATCTGATAGTTATGACCAAGTAGAAATTTTGGAAGGTGGGGGGTGGTGCAAATCTGATAGTTATGACCAAGTAGAAATTTTGGAGGGCATATTAAAGAAATATTACAAACAACTGAGAAAGTAATTCCTCAACCCTAGTTTTTAAGAGAAAGACTAATTATTATTTAAAACTAGTTATCATACACATCATATAAAATAAATTCTCCTAACCATATCTTATTTATGAAAACCTTTTTATTTTCATGTATGTATTAAGAAAATTGTATGTGCTATCATAAGAATCTTATTTTTGAGTGGATGTGCATTTTATTTTTTATGTT